CGTCATTAGCCCCCCCCCCCCCACCCCACTTAGGGAAAAAGTCACGAAAAGCAGGTTCGGCACCCTAGGGGCGCCGTCACCATGAAAAAGGCCCTGTCGGCCGGAAGAAAGTGCAAGGCTGAATGCCCGGCTGCACGATTTTAGATTCTAGGCGCCAGGCAGAGCTTGCCTGTCAAACTGCGTCAGGCCAACTGACAGCATGAACGAATATAGCTTGCATTCAGTATTATATGCTGCATGATTTGAAAAAGATGTAAGGGGTAAATCACACAGACACGCACACACATGTGTGCGTGTATATATTAATATATATATATATATGCACATACATACATACATACATACATACAGACAGACATTACACACATATATTATCGATATAAACTGTACAATACACATGTATATATGTATGTAAGCATGCATGCATGCATGTATGTATTTTAGCTACATGTGTGCTAAGTTCTGGGGACCCTGCTCTTTCGGTGACAGCAACCTTGGACATCGGGACAAACAAGGTTCAGGGCCTGGTGCACTCCCTCAAACCGACATGGAATGTGAAATGTGCACTTCCAGGAGATGGGCCTTGCTGTGGTTGCTGCAAGCATGAGCGGTGGGACTGAGGTGGAGAAGCTTCACAAATCGTTCATGACAGCTGCTGCGTGCGTGAATTAGATTTGGAATTGGTCACAGCTAGGTAGCTAAAGCCTCGCATAACTCTACGACAACTGCATGGCTTCGCTAGAGCCGCTAGAGCTCAATGCATTGAATTCCTGGATCCTGGATGGTCGAACTCAGGGAGTACATCTGGAGGCATCTGATTCTCGAGGTCTGATGCTGACATGCTCGGAAAGATCGCCTCGATAAGAAAGCAATCGCACAAACGGTTGCTGCACCAATTTGCTGCTCAGGGGCATCTCTGTCATGGCTTTGATGTCGCCACCTCGGCTGCTTCAAGGTCTGGTCTCCCCTTGCCTCAAGATAATTCCCGAAGCTCCAGACTCCCAGAATGATGGTTGAGAGCCGGGGCCAGTCTTGCTATTCGCATGGTTTCGGATGGTCGGGTCGGGACGACCCCTCTTCACATGCAAGCGTCATTGGCGTCACGAACAGATAATTAAATCAAAGAAGGGAGCTCTCAGTGTTCATACTCAAATTTGGTGCCTTCTGCAGCCAAGGCTACACGGTTGGTACATGAACTGACAGGCAAGCGGCGCACACCGTTTACTCCCCAGATCGTGCTGTTCGGGAGCACGAGGCGTGCACCTTGATGGCGGGGGCTTCTTCAAAGACTGCGCAGTTCCACTGGCTCTGTACCTCACGTGAGATCATCGTCCTTCTCCTTCTCAGCTACAGGCCAGAGGGCTCTCAACGCGCATCAGTGATCGCTCAAGCAGACGGGCAATTCGCAAAGAATCTCGCATGTCTGACAGTATGCCTACAAGCAGCCGGACTCGAAGCCGCTAAGTCAATGCATGCCTTTCATTTTCGCTACCATACACATCGTTTAACAACGGAAACTATCAGTAACTATCGAACAAGCCACATTGGCATAATTCAGGAATCAGAAGTCTATCTAGCCACGTAAGCCGTAAGTTGCCATGGTAGTCTGAGCGAAACTCTGAGCTAGCATGTGTGGCTCTGTTGTACCACTACTCCACCAACTCGACGGCTCCTCGCCACTGCACAGGCTCGAAAAAGTGCAATCTTGCAGTGCTTTCTGGCATAGGTCTGAAGTGCCTATCGCTTCTGTGGTTTGGGGCTGCGTTGCTTGCCACCGGGCAAGCTGGAAACCGGTGCAAAAGACACAAGAGGCAACAACAGCTCATAATTTGGAATGCGAGGCATATGTGTCCTTGCCAAGCATGTGAGCTCTGCTGCACAGCATGACGCGGGACGCATCGAACCCCGGAGATGTCTGTTGGGGCCTGTCGTTCACTGCTGCGATTCCATTCACTGACGCCGAAGCCCATGCCTAGTCACACGTCTTCTTGGCTTAAGGACTTCCGACTCCACTCTGAGACACTCGCCGGCGCCGACTTGCTTCAGCTGGGCCCAGTTCCAGCGATCTAGGGGCCCATCCTCACAAGGATCCGAAAATGCGGAGATTTCGGGTGAAGGTCGATGTGCAAACGTCGAGTAGTCCGAGCCCACGTGGAAGCAATACCAGGTGCTGGACAGTGGGCTTTTCAAGGTTAAGAGGCCTGTCTGTACTGGGTTGCAAGTTTGAACCGTATATGTACTGCGTTATCGCTTTAAGTTTGGGTCGTCGAAGATGAACGATTGTAGACTGCATATGCGGCGCAGGTCTGCAATTGCTAGAGCAAGCTGTCTGCTCAACCAATTAGATGGCTCAGCAGTCGTGAGCGCCGCATGCGTGAAAGCTCGCAAACAGCGCCTGCTGGACCCAGGTCACCACGAACGCCTCACAGCTTTCAGGACGTACTTTCTGGCTCGCAACTACTTCGAAAGATCCGCTTCAAACAAGGTGGGGATTTTCTGAGAGCTCGCATTAATAAAACTGATTGGAGTCACCAGCTCCGGATCATTCACCATCTCTCGCAGACCTTTGATCTCTAATTTGCGGAGCAGCGGCGGGAGTAAAACAACAGAAAGTTAGCTACTGCCTGCAGCTAGGGGCATAGGTGCACTATCAACTGGTTCCATCTCTTTCAACCCGCACGACATTTCTGACACACTGGGCAGGTGGGGGTCCAAGCTGTTGCTCTGAGGCCGTGGCACTCCAATGCCGGGCCACCCAGACATGCGGGTTGCCAACCGACAAACCTGCCACGTGCACCGTGCTGACCGCCGTGCGACCAGGCAGTGGGCACCACTGCAAAGTCTGGTTATTGGGGTTCCTTTCGAATCGCGACACGGAGGACGATTCACGCCTCGTAAACCGTAAACCATGGGGGTCGATTCAATGACGGACACGACAGGATTGTTCGAACCAGGCTGGGCATTTAACCTCTTGCAAATACCTGGACTCAACCACAACCCGACGCGGTTTCTAGAAGTGCAGAACGTCGTAAACCCCTGCAAGGCCCTCTCAGAGCATTTTTTCGCGGCCCATATACGTTGACCAGGCTTTGGCAAATCATGTGCCACACTACATCTGGACGATAAAGCCAAGAATTGTCAAAGTTTTGTGCAAGGCTCCTGCTATCCTTAACCCTAATCGGTAAACCCGAATTCCCAGGTCCTAAATCCCCGACCCTCCCTAAACGCCAAACCCTCAGAGATCCGACTAACCCCAAGGTTCCGGTCCCTCCTCTACAAAACCCTAAACCCTGAACCCTTCGCTCGAAAATCTAAGCCTAAATCAGGCTGAGGCCACCATATCTCTTCAGGTGAAGTTCGACATCGTCCAGCTCCGCAGTCTCCTTCTCTCTGGCCTGTCGTGAGATGTTGGGCTTTGCGGAGTGCTGTGAAGTTCTGTGGTTTCGCAGTGTTTGGTAGGGTCTTAAATAAAAACTTAGACATTTTCATGTAGGGTTGGTGACTGATCTTAGATACCATGCTTGGGTTTCGAAGGCTTGTGCGTTGAAGTCTCGTTCAGGGTACGTAGGGTGCAAAGCTTGGGAGTTGAAGGCATCTTCAGGCTAAAGGGGTCCAACAATTCGTAGGAGTAACCTCCTCTCGGAAACATCCGCTTTGAAGGGAACCTGATTGAAATGCTGCCTGGGGCACCACGAATTCCAAAGCAGCAGTTCATCCTCTAGTTTTCGTGCCAGTGCCAGAACCGAACCTGAAGCCGAACCATCGGCGGAGACTACTCCTGCTTCGTGAAGGGTCTGCGGCACTTCTCTGACAGGATAGGCTTGGTCAAGTTCTGGTCAAGCTGTGACGTAGATGGTCGCCTTTGACGTTTCGGAACAAGGGAACTCAGAACAAAGCTGGTGGGCTATGCTTTGAACTGCCCGCACCGACACTGTGTTCGGAGTACGCTGGCAACTTGTTCCGGATCTGGAAAAATGAGCACTCCCCACCCTACATCCAACGATACCGAAAGTCTAACCCACAAGCCCGAGGAGATGGATAACTTGCAGCTCCACCCCCAAATTTCATTACACATCCGGGTGCTGTTAAATGAGACCGCGAAACATCCCCAACGTGATCCTCGAACTGCAGGACATCTTAAGGACAATAATGTCTGGAAGCAGTATTGCTAATTTCGTCGTTGTCATTGCCGTGACAATTGCCAGTTCTTTTTCAAGATTTTGCTGGTGAGAGTAAATAGTTACTGTTACGACAAGTTTCGTTGCTGTCGTGTTGCTACCGTCATGTTTACACCGGTCACCAATGAGCATGGATCATGGCATTCCTCCTAAACTCTCCTGCCTGGAGCACCACCACCATGAGCTCATCCTCCGGACCAGGGAAGACTCGGCTGGTAGCCACGTTCTCCTCAGGGCGTCCGGAGCAACACAGGACATCTGCAACTTGTAGTTCCAGGCTGGGGCACAGTGTCCTTGGAAACAGATTCTCAAGCTATTTGCATTTTCTTTTTTTTTGGGAGGTACAGTGATATTCTAGTACAGGTCAAAACCTCTTCCGAAGCACACGCCCCCTGCCGCCGAGTTCGAGTCCTGCTTCTCACCATTGTACATGCACCACACGTGGGGGTCGCCATCCTGACCTTTTAACGCTTCTCTTCAGAGGGTTTAGACAAGTCTTGCAGATTCTTCCGGGGGCTCTACAAAGGTTGCATTATTAAGACTGTATTACTGTATTCGTTCCCAAGAAGATGAGTGGGGTTAAGTGAGTTCAGTATGTCATGAACCAATGAAGGACGGTTCAGCTGGCGCTGCCAGAGCAGGCTTCCGCAGGGTGCTGTGCTAGGTCTGGCAGGACCCTTCGGTTCTTCCATAGCTGTCGCGGCCTACTTAGATCACTCTGGATACTGCTGTACGAGATTTGTGACTGGAGCTTGTCCTTTCCATACAGCAAGCATCGATTTCAAGAGTCCCCTGCGGCGGATCAGGCTTGCAGCAGCATTCAGCGCCGCAGCTCCCGCTCTAGCATCACTTTCAGAGGCACTCTGCCAATACAATCTCAGCCAAACTGAACACTCACCCCATGTGAGCAGACTCAAGCATCTTCTCGCTGTTTCGTAACCCACCCCTCTATGTATGCATGTTTGGCATGAAAACAAACGTAACTCCGATCATCAACATGCCAAACCAAAAACCCGAAACCCCAATGTCGGTATGAAGGATCCCAGTCAGAAGTGGGTGCAGTGTCGACCTGTTCTTCGCAGATTCCTGGCTAACCCGCTGCAAGGTAAACCTCCACGGCCAAAGTCTGCACCGAAGCCGCCAAACCCAGATGTCAGACCTTGAACATCAGCGAAGAACGGCAAGTGCCAGCTCTTGGGTAGGAACTCTCAGTAGCTCCAGCACCCAGCTCACCGAGGCCGTGCTCAGCATCGAGAACCCAATCCTTCAAAGCTTCAGATGGGGATACCGCCTGCTCTGTCTGCTCCGGGATCGTAACTTATACACAGGAGCTCGGAGGAGACCTCTCTCCTTGTGGATGATCTGGGGTTTCGTGCAAATGCTGCTAAGCCGTACAAGATCCTACTGAATATCTAATGTTTATAACCTCCCTCGACACTTCTGCAAAGGCTCGTATCGTCAAGAGGAATTCGATCGCAGGGTGAGAACATGGTGCTGCCATGTCTTCCCACTGTCATTTCTGCTCGTATTGCCATTGCGACTGCTTGCTTTACTCGTCAAGCGGTTGACTATCTTGTTGTGGTCATTGTTCTCAGTCGTTTGCCGTTCAGACGCTTGCCGTTGTCCTTGCCTGTCGCACTAACAGACAGAAGCAGTATTCGCATTGGCAAGAGTATTTGGTTTCGTGCTAGTAGCGACAGTATCGCCGTTGCTGTTCCTGCTCCTCATGTCATATAGCTGGTATCCGAAGAGGCAGGTATTTTGCATCGTGCCTGTCCCAACAGAGACGGGTTGATTGCCCCAAGCCATGAACCGCGATGCAAATATCCAAAAGCTCCCACCGTCAAGACTCCCTGACCCCAAGTCCTAAAACTTGAAGCCAGCACCCCAAAACCCATCCCCAAAGAGCTCAGGCTCCGTGATCTCCGGGTCCTGCAAACTTTACACCAACAGAAACTTCAAGCTTCTGGGAGACCAGGCCCCCTCGTACCACGCACCCACAGCGGGCCACTCACACCGGCCCACACCATGCCTGCAGAGAAGAGGGGATCTTTCGGGAAACCTTCTTCATTCCATGCAGGGCTTTGCAGAGATTTTGGGGGTTGGTCTGTTTTGGGTCACACCGCGAAAGAAGGTTTGATCTCGAGAACGATGAAACAGGCGGCGAGAAAGGCGAATCAACGGTCGGAATAAACATGAGAAGCTGCTTTGTTCCGATAGGTGTGCGGCGCAACTTTCTAGACTGCCCGAATTCTAGGATGGCTGTTAACCTGAGCAAGTAGGCGGGGCCTGTACGGGACACTGGTCGTGATGATGATGGGCTGCAGATGATGGTGACAAGCATCAAGCTGATGAGGATGAGGATATATGAGGATGATGTCTGACAATGCTGCCGCCGATGATGATTGATCCGTGCTCTGACGACTTTATGCACTGCTACAGTACCTTGTCAATGCATGGTCCACCGTGTATTAATCTGATCCTTCTTCGTCCATGATGCCTCAAGTGTTTATATTCAGAGCACGGCACGGTCCTGAGCCCATCCTGGAATTGGCCGCTGTAGACCCAGGTCTCATACTCAGCCTCCACTGGCGCTATGGACGACATCACCTGGCTGCCACGGATTGCGCTGATGGTTTGGTCAGTACACAGTAGTAACGACTGCGTCACTAGCAAGCAGCCTCAGAAGAAGACTGAAGCAAAGAGCAGTGGCCCCACAGGAGGAAGGAAACTGCGCGAGGCGTGGCCCCTTGCCCATGGGGCTGGCCGAAGACCCAGTTGCCGTGGTATGTCCTGGCAGAGAAGTCAGCTTTGAATTTAAGGGCTGACCAGACCCATGAACGCCCGCTAGCTAAGCGGCTAGATGCAGCCACCAGCAACAAAAGCAAGATCACAACAAAGGCTTCTATGTCACTAGGCACGGTACAGTGATGTGGTATTCTTGCGCGCAGGGTGTCCTCCCGTCGGGCCAAACCATCTTCCCAACTCCGTGTGGATCGCCGTCTTGCAGCCTCGGTGCATGTAAGCAACGTTCTTGACTTCGATTGCCTCTGGAGCTCCCTCAACACATGCCTCTCGTCACAACACTCTTGAAGGACTGCGTCCAATTTGCAACAAGGGGCGGCATTGTCTCGCGAATCGGCAGCCGCACACAACAATCAGCAATGACTAAGACAAACCAAACTTCTAAACCGAGGCTGGCTTATAAACACTGCTGCTGGTGGTGCTGCTGCCGTCGATGAAACAATGACCACGACTACCACTCCTTCTCCGAGTGCATGTGCATGCATATTATACTCTACATGCCTTCATTTGGAACCGCTCCCTCATCTTCACTGCCGGGGCCGTGGCCCTCCGATGTAGCTGGAGCCATCTGGGAGTTCAAGCGTCTCCTTGCTGGGCGGCGTTCTGTTTGGCAGCAAAATTCACCAAGCCAAGCCCTGCACCTGAACAGGAAGACTGCTTGTGCCCGAGATTTTTTCTGCTCTTGTATTCGGCTGTATCGTGTACGCATGATTATGCTTTGTACCGCACGAAAGTAGACTGCGTCCGTCTAGGACGGCATAGTTTTACAGGGCAGTTGCGATAAAACAGCTTGCCGCACATAGAAGCGACAGAGATGCGCAATGAGCAGACTTTGGCTTGCATGCCCACACTGTGCGGATAGTCAGATTCGGCGGAGGGCTCCATCGGTGACGGCAGAACCTATGTCTGCAACAACATCTCCCATTCACAGCAGCTCATACCATGACATGTACGTACTCTGCTACTACCGAACAGTCCTTAACAAAATCCCAGCTCTGGCCTCCACACCGGTCTTGAGTTTGCCTGTGTCGTCGGTGAGAGCCTTGACATGGCTTCCCGCACAGTCTGCCAAGGCTGTCTCATTGTTGGACAGGAGCGATATTCCAAAGCAGCATCGTTTCTTTGGCCATGAGGAGAGGAGGCTCGGGCCTCGAGGGGTTAACTAAATCAGGGCCACCCCTATTCATTTTGTGAAATTCGAGGATCAGAACTCGCCTTGAGTCACCTGGAAATGGCAGTCACTCTGTGATGTTCATCTTTTTGTGGGAAAAGATGGCAATACCGACCTGTCTCCCTGATACAACAATGCTTAGAGTTGTGCGGATAATAAACATGCCCAACACTATCACAGAAATCGCCAGTCAAGAGAGCCTCCCTATCACTGATGCATGAGGGGCCGACCGTCTCCCACATCTCCTGCACCAGCTCCTCTTCACTGCGGCTCTTGGCTGCCCTCAGATTCCGGAGCACAGGAGAGCGAGGGCGTGTGGTCACTGCAGAACAGAATCTCGAATTCGATTGTTCACGTCTCTGGCTTCTGTTGATGTTGAAAGACCAGAAGGAGAGCGGAAGAAACACTGGAGAGGGCTCCTGGATAGAATGCAAACGATCAAGCACAAACATGAGTCATCACTATTGAGGCTGTCGCCGTCGCCAACCTCGTCGCCGTCGCTGTCGTCGTAGGCAGTGCAATGGGTTTAGCAGAAGCAGCAGCAGCCGCAGCAGCAGCCGCTGCAACGGCACCGGCGGCACCGGCAGGGGCAGTGGCAGCACCAGTAACACGACTACTACCGTGCCAGAGCCCGGAGTGTGTGTTGGAAGCGACACATGAAGACCTTGGCCGCTGGCTTTTCCTTCAGCCGCTGAACCTGCGCCTCTCGCCTGGCAGAGTATCCACGTGGTCACGGCAACTGCCAAACGAGGATCACCCCCTAAGACATCGACTAGCTCATGGCAGTGGATTGCACATCGAGTGCCGAAAACCAAACTCACAACAGCAAGCATATGTGACATAAGGTAGGACGGAATGGTCGATGCACCGCTGCTCGCCTTTGCTTCTTCTGGCGCAGTTTCCAGACGTAGCCGCACAGAAAGACCACCTAGCGCAGCAAATGCCCGAGGATATCTGAAGCTTTGGTCTTAAGGTAGTCACCACGGGTGAGGGGAGGGATGCAGGCGGGACCCGGGCACTGTCTGGCACTGCAAAACCTGAAGCTACAAGCCCAACAAAACTCGAGGTCCCGGCCAGCAGTAGCAGGATACAGAAGACGCCAATCTGCAAAAGCAGGTTCGCCGCTGGGTAGATTTTCTCACCCGGCTCGGGTTTTAGGGTGTGTGAAGAGGGGACTCGTTTTGGGCAGTCCCTTTTATGGAGCTAAGGTCTTCTTCAATCGTGACTTCCATCTCAGCACGACACTTTGCTGGAGACCGTGGTATCCGAATCGGAATGGTCACGGATTTCAACACTTTGCCTACAGCTGCCTCACATAGGCGTGGGAATTGAATCCTTCCATAGGAAGGACTGTAATTGCCAGGCTCGTCCACCTTCCTTCGAGGCCAGCTGCTCAATCCCTATGGCATACCCATCTCCATTCAGCTCTTTTTCAGAGCAGTCTGCGCTCCGTCGCTTCTGTCCACGCCCCTTCCTTGCATTTCTGTTGCATGCTCGAGAGAAGACAGAAGCTCTTGCAGCCACCAAGCCAGACAGCCCTGAAGATGGTCGAGCCCCAAGTCCAGAAAAATAAGTCAAACGCCCTGCAAGACTCAGTCAAGCATTCCTTTAACGCCGAAAGAAGCTTTACGCATTGGGCTTCAGCTAATGCAGCAACCCACAAAAGGGTTGCTGTACAGGAGAAGGCCTAAAAGTCCGCCTTGTTCCTATTGCTCGGCCCAGCTTTGCCCCAGCTGCCCAGAACGACTGAGGCGAGTACGGCCCAGCCGGGCAGCCCCTCCTGGCGCAGCTTCTTCAAGGATTGGGGTGATTGGGGTAGGAAGGGATGCAGGGGCTTTGCCGGCGCAGGATGGAGCGGTTGAAAGTTCCGAGTTTTAGGCTTTTCGGGGTTCAGGATGCCAAAGTTCCCTCACGCCTCCGAGCCCAAATCCCTGACCACTGTAACCAAACCCCTCAACCTTTAGTTGTAGGGGAAAAAACACACCCCAGACCGTTCCAGACCCCTCAGATTCCTCCACGTCAATGATGATCTGTATCCTGTCTTCGGTGGTGGTGGTCGTCGTCTGGGTGGTCGGCGGAAGAGGCCTTGGAAGCTTCAGTTCATGAAAATGGTTGACGGGTTCGCCTGTAGTACGTGGTTAAACCTAGTAGCAGGGGGCTTCGAGTGCAAGCTTATGAGATTTTGAGTTGAACCTGGTTGCCTGCTTGAGTCTATTTTAAAACATTCGTGATCCAGCTTCCGATATTGCAGCTTACATTTACAGACTTACAGATGTCAAGCCCTTGGGATCTCTAGCGCTTACTTCAGTAGAGCTCCACGCCCGCTCGAAGATAATTGATATCCTGGACTTCCTTGTAGTAAGAACGTTTGAAGACTGCCGCCCTGTTGGATGTTCTGTAGCCTGGTGTGCCAGTGCTGCACATCCCCCGTCTCAGCTCAAAACCTGACGAATCTCAAGCACTTGATCTCGACCCTGCACAACCATGTGAACCAATTTCCCACTTTGCTAACCCGGCAAAGGTGACACCCACTCAGTTGTCAGTATGCCGAAACAAAATGGCTCGGCAATGAGAGGCTCACCCAAGGCCCTGCATGACCAAGAGTCTTGGCGGGTCATGGTTTCAGCACCACGCCAGAAACAGAAGTTCATGAGGAAACCTGTGCTGCCGAGCTCATGGCGGAAGGAACAGTGTTGTTCCTGGCAGCAAGCGCAGATTGGGATGCCGGGCAGGTTGCCATCCAGTGACCAGTTTGACAAATCACCCACACAGCTCCTCAATGCCGTAACGGACTCAGCTACCCTTTAGGTTTAACGAAATTGCCCCTTTTGCATTCCAGAATACGTTGCTCAACCTGAAACTTTTTCTCATAAGTCCCGAACCGCAGTGGGGGCACTTGTCCAAAACGTCTGCAATGTTGCGGTTCAAACTCTGATCTGGTGTCATGCTGGACAGCAGCATGAATACATGTGAGGCTTCTTTTGCTGTTAACCATATTCTTAACTACAATGATTGCTAGCAGGTTGGCTGCTTCATCAGCAAAATGCATCAGGACGATGATGGTGAGATGACCATGTTCTGGAGAAGGGTAAGCAAACATTCCACAGCTGGCATTAGCCGCATCGGCAGGAAAAGCAGTGGTGGTGGCATTTTTGCTTGTGGTAGAAGCAGCAGCAGTAGGAGGGGGAAGAGGAGTAGTAGCACAGTACTAGCAGGAGCGGCAGCAGCAACAGCAGCAGCAGCAAAAGTAGAAAACCCTGTCTAATGGAAAACCTTATCAAACAAGAACACCCCAACTTACAGGAAAGCACCATCTAACAGAGAGCTCTATTTGACAGAAAACCCCTATCTAACAGAAAATCCAATCTGATAGGAAAACCCAAGTTAGAAAGCCCTATCCAACAGAACAGTCCATCGACATGGAGAAACCACATGTAACAGAACAACCCTAGCTAACAAGAAACCCTATCTAAAGAGCAGTGTCAGTAGTAGTAATAGTAGTAGAATTACAGGTCATGCTGTGTCAACACCACTTGTCACCAGTCACCAGTGGTCGTCGCAGCCGTGTCTGCAAGAGGTGGACGAGGGCTAGGAGCAGGTGCAGTGGGAGGAGCAGCATCAGTATCAGCACGGCCAATCTTGATCCTTGTCCCCGCGACCATCATCACCATCGTCGTCACAACTCCGTCACGGTCTGCCCAAACATCCCAGACAATTATCCTGACTATCCAAAGCCCTCTGACCGAGGCCGATTCTTGAAATGCAAGTTCTGCAAGCCCGAAACCCAAATCAATTCCCAAGAGAGGAACGCCCCGAATCCAACATCCTTCCGACAAAAAGCCCGGCTGGTGCACGAACTGGCGGCCCAATGAAGACCATCTCGGGGGCTGTGCAGCGCATGGGCCTCGGTGCAAGCGGCCTGCGGCCTTCCTATATGAGTTCTCCGAGGGTCTCTGTGGTGACTCCTGGGTCTTTGTGGTGACTCATGGGCTTACGGCTTTACTGCAGAAGTCCCAGGTGTCGCCTTCCTACATT